ATTTTAGGTGACTTAATCAAAAATTTTCTATGTTCAATAAGCAATCTCAAATCTAACATATACATATATTGTTCAGAATCCTAAATGCAAGTTTTTTATATATATACTCTTTATAAATGCATTCTTTATAAAAAATTTTATATAGTTTATTTATAAATTTTTATATTACTTTAATTTAGATTAGTATTATATGGATTTATATATATTCTATAAATACATACCCTTTTTAAATGCACCTTTATACCTAGTTCTAAGAAAAGTGCATTTATAAAGAGCAGACTATATCTGATGCAATTTATAATAAAATAATAAAATAAATTATTTCATACAATTTTTAATTTTAATTTTTAATTAGCTTATATATATATTATATAATACTTACATAATTTACAAAATTGAAAAAACTTTTTTAAAAATTGATTCATTTTACAAATATAAATCATTTTTTTTTATTTGATTAAAATTTAATTAGTAGATTTAAATTTATTAATGTTTTTTAAGTTTCTATTATAGAGATTTTATATTATATTATAGATTTAAATTATATTTATATTTAATTTAACTACTTTATAATTATAAATAGTATATAGCAATTTTAGTAATTTTAGTGATTTATAATAATTTAGAAATTTTAGCTAAAAATACTATATATATATTAGTATTTATTTATATATCAGGAAGTTAAAATTATGTATTTTAGTGTGCTGGTAAAAGTTGTAATTTTGATGTGTTGAATATAGTAATAATCAGTATTATAATTATATTAAACAATATATTAATTAATCTAATGTTATTCAACACCTTGTTTAGTTAGTAAAACAATATGTATGTTGTTTAATGTCTTGTTTAATACTATAAATTTATTTATTAAAAAGATTTATAAAAATAAAGATATTTTTGTTTTTTATAAATTTCACAAATTGTAAACACTATATTTTATTGTTTTACATATAATTTTATTAACATATAAACTATTATAATTTTCTTTTATTTAAAAAATAAATATATTTATAAAATATTTATTAATTTTTCTAAATTGTGAAATAATATAAATTGATTTAACAATAGAGTCAACCAATATAATTGTATACATTAGAATAGCTTTCATGAATGAACAATCATACTTAAATAGTTGATTTGAATTATTGTATTTAAAGTCATACTAATTAACTAATACCAGTTTCTATATTTTATGATTAGAATCTTTAAACTAAATAATATTAGAAGCTTTTATATTATATTAAAAAATATAATTTTAAAATTAATTATTCAGTTATAATTAATAAAATTCAATAAATTAATTAATAGTAAATTTAATTTACCTTAGTAAAATATATATCATCAACTGTATTAAAATTTTCTACCTCATCTTCATTCATATTGATTATAATATTATTAAATGCAGGTACATTGTAATAATTGCTTTTGGCTCGCATAGTGTCAGTTCCTCTAATAAATATGTTAGTATACTATTTTATTAAAGCTTTTTTCTACATCTTCATCTGTAATATCTTCAATAAAATGAAAATATTCATTTAAAGAATCAATAAATATATCAAATACTTTTTCAGCTTCTAGTACTAATTGATATGAAGTTTTATATATATTAATAAAGTTACTAAAATTGGATAACATAAAGCTGCCCTCAATACTATTTAGTGTTGAAGTTTTACAATGTTTATTAATAGTAGGTGAAGTATTTAATGAAGATATTTAATAATACTTTCACGTTATATCTAAATTAATTATTTAATATGGTTATTATTATCAGCTAAAATATAATTAAATTTTTTTTTTAAAAATATATAAAATACCATTTTAGTTATCAGTAAAGTTGCATTTCAATGATTACTCATTCTGTATGAAATTTTAATACAAAATTTATGTAATGATTCGTATATTTCAGTACTGAAACTATTTATTACACCATATTTCCATACTGTATTAACAACATGATAGTATTAATTATACAACTTTAGATATTTCATTTCAGTATCTATAATCGGTATAAATAATTCAAGAAAATTTTTTGTCCAATTCATAATCATATTCTAAAAATATTAAAAATTAAAATTAGAAATATTGTATATAATAAAAAATATATATATAGAAATATGAATAAATTAACCTGAAATTTTTCAAGTTCAGAATCTATAAAAGATTCTTTATAACTAAAAATATACATTTGATTCCATAATACAAATAAATTAATAAGTTTTTTATTATATTGTTTTGTTAGGCTAAATGTTAATGCTAGCTTATGTTTGCAATAATTAGGCCATCTATAATAAAAACAAGTTGCTTCATCATATTCTAGAATTTGGTAGCAGTAAATCTTGCAATATTTCTAAAATCATATTTAAATAATTTAAGATCAGAAAAACATAAAATTAATAATATCTATTTATCAAATTTATCAATACCTTCTTGTTCGCAATATAAATGTATATAGTCTCTAACAAAAGTAATTTAATAATTAAATAAACCTAAATTACAATGGTGCATATGATCAGATAAAGTGGTATTATAAATGTTAAGTTTGCTATAAAAAATATAAATTATTAGAAATCTATAATAATATAAATAATAAAGTTTTAAATAGTATATATTACTGAAATTTTCAGAAAATATTTCATATTAGATAAATAAAATATTCATAAAAAAGATTACTACTCAAAATAAGTTACATATTATCATGTGTTCTTAATCCAATTTAAAACTGTGATAAGTTAGGATTGTTTAATTCATTGATCATTACAGTACATATGTGATAGAGATACTTACATTAGCTTGAATTATAGGTTAATGTTAATAACATATCCTCTGGTAAATCACCAATAAATTCTGAAAGAAATGGAAATACCCAAATTGTTTGGGTATTAGTTTTAATATTCAATCCATTTCTTTCTGAATAATTATGTATTAGTTTTGTTATAATATCAAAATAATGCTGATATAGAATTCTTTTAGTTGATACAAATCTTTTTTTATTATTCTTGTGATTATGTAAAAGTTTTAATTTAGGTAAAAACTCTAGTAAGACTTTAGTATCACACTTATTCCTGTGTCAGTTTGGGATGTTTCTTAAAGATAAATAAACTAATGCTCAAAACTTTTGTCATATATTAGTATCCAAATATAGGATTATTGATAATATCTTTTTTAATCTTGTTTTACTAATTAACCCTTAAACACATTCTCACTACAATCCAGTCTATTATTCATTGTAAATACATTCATGTTCATTAGTATATTCTGCTTGAAATTTCTATTGACAATATTTTAAAATATTTGAATAAATAAAAATTCTTTAATAGCATCAAAAACTGAATGATGGTAAAAATAATATTTTTCATTCTTATATTCTATGATCTTTATTTTAATATAATAAATGATCAATGTTCATAGAATTAATGAATTCTCGTCTATCCATTGTATTTTTGGTAAAGTGATATTTTCTCGAAGATAATGTTTATGAAATCACTTTAACACATCATTTTTAGCTGAATCTGAAAGGTGATATACTGATACAAATTTTATAAACTCATTATGTATAACATCTGAAAAGCATGGAATAGTTTGCAACAGAGTAGTTTTAGCATCAATTGAAGTTATTTGCTCATTTTGTTTCAAAAAACTTAAAATATAATCACATTCTTATTCTTTATCTATATTAATCTCATCATCATTATCGTCATTTTTATTTTCACTTATATCTTTATTTATATTATGATCTCCTTTATTTACATCATCATTATTTTCAGTCGCATTATCATCATTATTTTCATTTATATCCTTATTTCTATTATTATCTTCATTTGTATCATCTTCATCTTTATTTATATTATTTTTATTTTTATTTACACCATCATCATTATTATCATTTTTATTTATATTTACCTTATTTCTATTATTATCATTGTTTGTATTATTTTCACCTTTGTTTACATCATCATTATTTTCATTTGCATCTAGAACTTTTCTTAAATAGATAATATTCTAGAATAAATTCAGATTATCCTATTATCTATATTATATCTGAATAATATTTGAATAGTTAACTAAATCTACAAATCTATAAATGGATAAATCTTAGAATTATTCAAATTATTTTAGAATAAATTTAATGATCAGCATTTATATTGCATAAAATAGAAAACTTTAATTCTTTTTTTGTATAAATAACACATTTTTTTTCATTTAAAAAGAACAAAAAAAAACAAGATTAAAGAAACAAAAAACTCATTTATAAATATTATTTCTAAATATGTCAACTGAAAAAACTTCAGTAAAAAGTTCATTGTTTAAAAATAATGATAATATTAATTATGTTGATATAGTCAATGATAATATTTTAAAAAAGGAAACAAATATCTTTGAAAAATCAGAAGAAAAAACTGATTCATTAAATATTCAAGTTAAAAGTAAAGGAGGC